TACCAACGACCCCCCCCCCCCCCCCCCCCTAGCCTTATTTTTCCTTGACATCTAACGGAGCTCAAACTTGAGGGTAGTTCTAAACCATAATCAAAGGTCAAGTCATGTGATGTGTGTATACATAATAAGTGATGATTTTATTGAATGGCCTTGGTACAAGGGATCAAAACAGGTTCAGTCATAGTGGTGACAAATAGTATTGCCAACTCAATTTTGCCATCCGAAGTGTGTAGTACGTACCAATGGGATAAAAGTCATGATATGTGACCAGGTCCATGATTAATTATTCTCGTATTTGATTTTTCAAAGTCTATGCTTAAGTCAGAGAAGAAAATTCATAGTATTGACTTGGACAGTGACTCGTTTCTGCTTTATATAATCAACACCCTTAATCTCCATAGTCTCACTCACACATTCAATTCACCAATGGCAAGTTATGGTCCAGTGCAAAGGCCATCAGCCACTTCTGCAGATCCTCCTTCCGAAACCCAACCTTATGAATCAAAAGAAAGCTCAAATCTTGAAAAATACCAACCATATTTCTTTCAAATTACATGTCCATTTAGTATCCCTTCCACCCCTGAATCAGCTGCAGCGCGAATTATAAGAAACTTAGGCAAATTCGGGCTGTACTATGCTGAATTCGTGTGGATAGTTCTTTTCATCGCGCTTATTCCTGAACGTAAGGTTTCATTAGTCTATTTAGTTGCCATGAAGGAAGTGACAATCTTGTATTTGTTATTGCTTCGAGCAGTGGCTAATACAGTTCTGTTTCGTTGGCTTTTCGTGTTCGATACTAAGCCTATTGTTCTGCCACTGCTAGCCATTGGCACATCCTTTGCTCTAATTTTTACTCATGCTGGAATCCATCTTTTGATCACTTTGGCTGCAACTCTGCCTATCGTTTTGGCTCATTCAGTTCTGTGGATAGCTGAGGATTATGGTCTAAATGAGGAGATTACTCAAGAATCCGTACCCCTTATCTGTACTGTGTAAAATAAGGCTAGTTTGCTGATGATTTTCTGAAATAAAGCCAAGGATGTTGAGTTTGTGAAACTTTTTTTCCCCCTTACCATATAGGGAAGATTGGTGCTACATGATAATTGAAGTTTTTTTTAGGTCCTTTTAAATGTTGTATTTCTGTTTTGATATATGTTCCAGAAATTGTATGCTACAAACTACAGTCCAGGGGTTCAATCAAATGATGAATGTTCGAAAAGAAGCATTTGGAAAAAAGATATTGTGAAACGTAAACACGGTTTTGTTGTGTAATTAATCATCTTTGCTAGAGAAATAGTTGCGTTTCTAGGTCTAGCTTGGACTTAGTCGTCTTCTTGTTGTTTGTCTCATTATACTTCTTTATCAAAAGAAGTAGAAGAAGAATGTTGATGCTAATATCCTTACAAATAAAATTGAAGAATTCAGATACATGCTGTTTTTCTAAGATTTTCCTAAATAAAGGTGAAAATCATCTTTAACTCTTAACTACATCTTAAAACAAAAAGATTTACTATCTAATCTATAAAGGTAGCCACCAACCGGATCCTATTTCCTTCCAGGAACTTGATAAACCTGTAATTTATGAGCATTAAAGTTGATATTTTTATAGTTTAATAAAAATTCAGTGATGAATATTAAGATTCTATTAGTTTTACGAATTTAGAAGGTAATTACAAGTAACTTTATATATGTAATTTGATCATTAACATAAAATAAATAATAAAGTAAATATTATGACAAGCTTTTTACACAATTAGTGAACAAAACTTAAATTCAGGTAAGTTATATGCATTTTGTTTACCCGTAAAACGGTACAGTTGAATTTGTTACGTGGTTTATAGACAAGCGAATTGATTTGATCCGAAACGATAGATAAGTAAGATTAAAAATAAGACTTAGCATTAAAACCAAAGGAAATGGCAGGCCTGGCTCCGGGAGTGATGCTTCCGAGGACAGAAATAAAAGCGATATAAAATAAAAAGTAACGTTGTATTATTTAGCTTGAGAATAAAATATAGCATAAGGTTAGCCAGAGATTTTCGTGTCCTTCAAATGGTTGTTGAAACCTCTATTTATAGCTATACCTAAGAAACAAGATCCTAGGATCAAGCCCCTCTTAAATGACAATAAAGAGGGCCAGTGATAAACATGTAACGGCAGGTCATGAATGCTAAAATTCTCTGCAACGACTGTCTATTTAATACTAGAGAATATTCCTCATTAAATGCTATCTAGTGACAACCATTCGACCTGCTCACATTGGTTATGCTCCATTCGGGACTTACCCGATGTTAGCTGTAGCTGTTGCTCCCAATCTTAATTCTTACTTGATTTGTCTTCCGCCTGTCTCCGGTTTTTTCACGTATCACGCTATCATTCGATCATTTAATATAAACTGATTTTACTTTATACAGATAATCCCCTTGCTTTCCGGTGGCACATCTTTATGTCATCGAGAAGTTGGTGAAGATTCCTTTCTTGGCGGAAAATTTTCTGAAGCCTTTTGAGCAATCTCTGACGCTTGATAAAACGTACATCTTCTCGCATTTAATATCCCGAATACGTTTTGCCCAACTGTTCAGCAATATTTTCGCCGGTTCTCGAGGTAATCATAGCCATAATTTTTGCCGTCTATATCTTTATTTATACTCATCATCTTATCTCTTTCACTTCCAAAGCCCTCATAAGTTCATTACCTTCTTTGCTCTCAATTTTCTTCTGCTTTCATCTCTTTCCGGCTTTCTTCAAAACTCAATCACCTTTTTGCTATTATGGCTTCTTTTACTAATTTTTTTGAAAACTCCAGTCTTCTTTTTGATGGAGGCCCGAAGAGAATCATAGATAAGGAGGTTGATTTGATGCTGATCCCCTACGGTAAGCACCATCATACCTAAACACTTTAGCACTGTTAATGACTTCCAAGAGAAGTTCTCTTCTGCAAATCCTCGAACTTAGGCTGTTAGCAGGTATCCCTCTTCTATTCGCCCATCGAGTATTGTGAAGGAGGATTGTAACTGCCATGACCTAAACATCATTGCCTCTGACCTGGTGGAGCGGGTTACCTTCACCAAGATTTTTTTTTTGCGCATGTCTATACGTACCCCTTCACTTTGGGTCCGTTTTCTTTGAGCGGGGGATTTGACCCCGTGATCTTGGAGTTATGCCACAGTACCAGGTTTGCTTGGCACAAGTAGGCCCTTCTGTGTGGCGAACGGTGGCTTGTCTGCGCCGGCTGTGCATGGAGACGAGAAAAACCCTAACCCTGGCGCATATGATGAACCTCTACTTCCCCAAAATCTTTCGGGGGAGGGGGGGAGGGGGGGAAGGGGGGGGGGTAATAAAGTTTCAGCAAGCGCGTACACTATGCTCTGCTTACTAGCATGGATGATGACAATGACCGTGGGTGGATAGATCGGTTTTCGCTATTGCTACCAGGGATATCATCCCGGCCACAACTCTATCTTTTCCCAAATCATCGATTCATTCACGTAAGTTTGTAATCTATCTTTTCTCCGTAAAAAGACTGTTCCCTACCATTCTTAACCTTTTTATTTCCATTATTTTAGCTACTCGGTGACACTACCAAGGGTTGAAGGCCTGGACTAATGGGTTTAGAAGATTCTGGATATTATTACGCCAGAGACCCGTCGACGGAAGGAGATAGCCCCTAAATACGGATGGAAGGCCAAGAACCACGGGAAACTGATTCTTTCTAGTTTCTGCCTTTGTATGTACATAAGAAAACTTGCTAACCATATATTTTTGTTTGTTTCAGGACTCCCGCAGGGTTCTGTCACCTACCTCGGAGTCGAGGTTTTGGCCGATCCAACGGAGGCTGCGAGTTTGTTGCAAGAGGCTCTCCCTTTGGAGCGATGCCCTCAGATCCGCCTCTGATGCAAGTGCTTCCTCTTGGAGTACCCAGCTAGAGAACAAGCAACCAAAAAGGCGGCGTTCTTCCTCGGCTAGGGATAAAAATAAGAAAATAAAAAAGTCCATGCCCACGTCGATCGCAACCACTGTGGTTATTGATGATGACGGGGATGCTAGTGATGAAGAGGCTTCCCTTTAGAGAAAACAATGATCTTCATCAGCTCAACATAATTCTCAATTTTGAGAGCTTAGAACCCCAACCGAAGGCGAGGTCCGAGCGCTTTAGGGAGAAATGGAGATAATAGATAATGCTGATTCTCGCTTTTTGACCCCTTTTGCTGTTACCGGTCCTGTAAGGTAGGAAATCGTCCCTCTTCTGCCTTTGGTTGGTTAGCAACCAATAATCAGCACTGCCCCTGTCGCAGCAGCTTCTCAGCCTAAAACACTATCAACTTCATCCCCCTCTACACTAGTCGCGTCGTCATCACCAGCAACTGCTACGTCTCCTCCACTAGCCATCGATGTCCAAAAAGAAGCTCCTTCTCCTCCTTAGTCTCCCGATCACGGGAATTTGGGTTACAATTATTCCAGATCCCCGAGAAAGGAGGAACGTCATTCTCTCAGTTTTGAAGTAGTGCCATCTACTGTCTAGGCTGGTGGAGCTTGCCAATTACCTGAAGTCACTGGCTTCAGAGAAAGATAAGAAGAAGATACATTCCCTTTCTAGGGAGTGTATGTTGAACAACGCCATGCACAATGCAGCAACGGTACCGTACTTGTTCTCCTACTACTTTTTTTGTTTATCTGTTATAATGGGTTTTCTAACTTTGATATACGTTTTTCAGGCCAACTTTCTTACTTTCGAGCCTTCAAGATTGATCCTCGACAAATAAGGACTTATGTCCGAGCGAGATCAGCTGTTGTCCGAGAGGAACCAAAGAGATTGATCCTCGATAAAGAGGGAATTATGTCCGAGCGAGATCAGGTATCGTCCGAGAGGAACCAAATTGCTGCTCGCCTACCGGTGCTGGAAGCAAAAGCTGCTGAGGCGAGTGAACTAGAGGTTCGGTTGCAGTAAAGCGAGCAAGAAGTGATGGCCCTTAGCCAAGAAGCCACTCAGCTAAATGTACAGTTTCAAGAGGCTAAGGCTAAATGGGTAGAGGTAGATGTTGTGCTGCTGCTGCCGAGCGCGAGTCTGCCTCCGTTGAACGAGTGAATAATTTGGAGGCAGCCTTGAATTCTAAAGCTGAAGAGGCTGCTGCTACCGAGGGAAAGCGGGCCCGAATGGAAGAGAGGTATAAAAAGATCATGGAGCAAAACTGGGTTCACATGTCTACAATCCGTGATCTTGTATTTAGCCTTGGCGCACAAGATCCGAACGGGATGGCCTTTTATCCGAGGTTGACAGACTCAAGGCAAAGCTCTAACACTAAGGGGATTCTCTCGTCTTTGAAAAGATATACTCTATGTATCATATACAAAGGAAAACCTTGGAGGAGGCCAAAGCGGGCGTCATTGATATTATTGATGAAGTCACCAAGGCCCGAGCGCTAGATTTAACTGCTCAAGAACATCTCCCGGCTCAGCCTGATGCAACTGATTCTTCTAGTACCGGTGCTGAGTATTCGGGAACCGAGGAGGAACTTGAAGAAAATATTGATGAAGGCCAAGATCCTGCACCAACGGCATATCCGCCCACTTCTCCCGGGGGGTGCGCAGATGCCGCTCTCCGCCCGAGTTCCGATGGCGATGAAGTTTAGAGTTTTTCCTCTTTTCTTTGTTATTTTCCTTTGTTCTTTTGTACAATGTTGGTAAATAAAGAAGACTTTTGTTTAAGTACTGCGCAAAGTTTATTCTTTTTGCATCGAATTAGATAAGGCTTCAGATGTATTTTCATCTGATAGCTTTTGGGTTCCGAGCATAAATTCTTCCGGAACCAACCCTTTACTATGAGAGTTTCATAAAAGAGGGCCCTCTTGTCTTTACGGTACTCTTAAAGAAGACGTCTCCTATTAATTCCAACACAAGCATTTGAAGATTTTTGGACTTTATTTTATCCCTTATATCTTCAAAAGTACATAAGCATTCGTTTGCTGAAAAAAGAAATTAACAATACATGTGTCTAACTTGTACAACTTGTTTGTACGGGGCTAGCTGTGCCGTCCCCGGTCCCGATGAGACATTATTGTTCCCGGGTCTTGTAGTTCCGATTATTTTTGGCAATCACGTTGTCGTATTCTCATATTATTCCCTCTAGTATTCAATGCGAAGTATGCGAATTGGAACACTGGAAGTCTTGCTCCGTTGAGAAAAATACTTGTGAATGGTTGAATAATCTTTGGTTCGATGGCAACCTTTGCTTCCCATTAGGAACTTTGCCATCGAGCCAAAGATTATCTAACCATCCCGTAGTGTCTTATCATAGCGATGCCTTGTCATTTAAAGGTCTTAATTTTGCTGATGATGCTCCCTTCGTAGTATGCTTTCCGTTGTTGTCTTGTTAAAAACTTTCCAGAAAAACCCGATTGGGACAAAAACTGATCGAAGGAAAAAATAGT